GTTATTTTGAGTACATTATATTCAGCTGTGTGAACTTAATGTAATAAATTACTGATCTAAAGACAATCTAGCATGCTTAACAGTTTATTTTATTTTGACCAGTATAAAAGTGATAGGCTTATTTAACTTTTATTTGTAGGAAGTGGTATAAATTAGTTTTCAGAATTGGGATTTTCCCGGTTAAATAAAGGTCAGTAAATATATCTGTCAATCCATCCATCGTTAGCTTTCTAATCAGTTCCAAACATCCACATATCGATCTTATAAATAAATGTAAAAACCTCCTCTAAGCTTGTTTGGGATAAATTATTACATTAATTTAATTATCTGAGTTATAATTGAATTTAAAAACAGGACGATGCAACTAGTTTAATGAAGAATCTGTCTCTAGTCATTAAATCAGGTGTTTATTTATGTAGGTAAAAGTATCTTTAACAACCTGTTAAAATACATTAGAAATCAGGAAATAGCTTCTAATTTATTCAAAATTTTGTGGGGAAGGAACCCCAGACCCCCCTCCAGTGTGTCCTTTACACACATTATAAGACTTATGTGAGAAGATAAACCAACACACCTGTGCTCCACCTGTGTCTGCTGTATGAAACTATGGCTGATTGTCAAACTGTATTCTCAGTGAGTTTAAAGGGCTGGTACAGTACACGGTTGAATGAAGGTGAACATGATCTCAGTTAATATGGTTTGAGTATTACTGCATCACAACAGAAACGTTTGGTGTTCAGTTGTTGATGGGTGCAGACAGTTAAACTGAGCACACACTGAAGACATGAACAACAGAAAAACCTGGTCGCACAACTGTGGGTGCGTCAGACCCCGTCCCCCACGGTGCGTCCCCACCAACTTTCAGCACAACGTTACACCCKTGATTCAACTGGTGGCCCACGGGACACTTTGTGTCCCCTCACCCAAAAATTCACAATAACAATTTTGATGACTTACTTTGTTATACAAATAGATTTTAAATCACTGGTAAATTTRAATTTGTGATTCAATGTATAAAATGAACAAACTTGTTCCTTTACGTATTGCAGTGTTTCCCCTACAATTATCGACACCACCTCTTAGATTAACTGTGGCACATTGAGCAATTTARTTGAATCGCCCTGGATTAGTGTGAAAAAGAAACGAATGTGAGCAAAACCAGTCCTCACAGTTCCTATAGTACTCACGTTGTGGGTGGCAGGAGGAGGAGGGGGAGGAGGCGGTGGAGGGTTGTAGGACTTGGAGCTGAAAGGTGAACTCAGAATAAGATCATGWAGCACAAAGTTGGAGAAAACAGAGTGAAAGGTTTTTTTAAGCGTTACACTCACCTTTTTGTGTTCTGGCTTTCTGTTCAACAAAAGAAAAGACTTGATCAGATTTTATCGCTCATTATCTGCTGACAGACTTTAGCAGGTTAGTCTTTTTAGTCTYTTGCTCTGAGGGGAAATTTTGGGATCATTAGATGTTCACCAGCTGGTGGTCGGTTTTATATCCTGAATAATTGTTGGGACAGTGTTRAGTTAATTAAAACAACCTGCTGGAAACAGTGATAAGAAAAGCAGGAACACAGAAAAGCTGAAGGTTGTATCTTAAAAAAATTAAGTGAAAGATGCTTTTAAAAAAATCCCCTAAATGAGGACTGTTAAAGTTGTTCAACGGTCAAARTTGTTCTGTCACTTATTTAACATTTTAGATGTGAAACTTTTTTGCCTGAAGGGTTAACATATAAGCTTGTGTTTTCTGGTGGGAGAAATAATTAAAAATTTGTTGCTTAAGATAATTATCATCAAATTAAACATGTCTCTAATCCTTCACRCTAATCCTGTCCTGAAGGTGTAATTACACAGCTTTTTAAAGTCAGCTGCAGTTCGRGCTTGTGTTGCTCGCTGAGAAAATATAATTTATTGARTTATTTCTTCCAGAAGTCTGTAGACACATCATCACTGAAAAACTCTACTGTCAATTAGACAGTGGAAAACCTGTCAAGCTTTGTTAAATAATGGTGCCCACAAACCTCTAACTTCTTATTACTGTATCTAAGGTTGGTCAAAAAAATAACTTTTTGAAACTTATAACATTAGATAGGCTATATTWAAAACTGCAACTGTAAATATCTGAAATATATTAAATAAATGACCCAAAAATCGAATCAGTTCAGATTTAAAATGTTCCTCCCAAATATACTGTATATAAAAACTGGCGTGTCCAGATTAATGAGTTTGTGGACGACTTTTTTGATGCTTTAAAGCCAATTTCTCCAAACTGAAGTCATTCAAAATGCTAACTGCAACAGGTAAGATGTTAATTGTTTATAACCTTTCCACAGGACCCCAATTCAAACTATTCCACTCAATCTGAAATTTAGTGACGACCATTTTGGGAATTTTTTTAAGGTAGGTGTATCAGACATAATCCTAAAATGTAGCACTTACATAAACCCTTCTTCTACATAACTTTTGTACAATTCTAATAAAAATGAACTATCAAATCGGACATTCTGCTTACAGATAATGTGGAACAAAAGAAAGTAAAAACACTTTTCAGACTGAAGTCTCACTTTTATTTGGCTTCATTCAAAATGCCTTCATGACTTTGCTAAAGAGTATTTTTTCCTCAGTTTTAACCCCAACATTCCTGGTTTTGTGACAGTACTCACTCTTGCAGCATCCTCGGCGGCGGCAGATACAAACACAGATGCAGCAGAAAAGGGTGAGTGCAACGAATCCTGAAGCAGCTGCTATTAAAATGGTCATATTCAAAGGATCTGGAAAGGAAAATAGTTTTTTTGTGTGTGTGTGTGTGTTCAGTTTTTTAGCAGTGGGTTTTGTTTTTTACAAAAGACTTACATTCTACAACTTTGAGCTGTTGGGCCACGCAGCTCTTGGGCGAGCCCACACTGTTGGAGGACTCACAGCGATACATCCCAGCATCCGCTTTGGAAACACTTTTAAACTTCTGCTCCAAACAAAAGCAAGACAAAATGGATTTTAGGCTGGCAACAGATGTGATTTAATATATTAGAGATTGAAATGACACTCACCAGCCACTTTCTTAGGTACATTTGTTCAATAGCTAATTAATCATGTAGACATGGTGTAAACCAGTGGTCTACACCAAAGGTTTGTAACTTTTCACTTTATTATTTTATTATTTTGATACAGAGATCAAGACTGATCCCATTTTTGGGAGAGGTGAGGAGAAGAGAGGGGTGGGGGCTCAGCTTGGCTTGGAATTAAGATAGGAGGGCTTTGAGGAAAATAAGTTGGGAACCACTGGGATTGACAATTTACTGAAGCTCAAACCAGGCTTCAGCGTGAGGAAGAAATGGGATTTAAGTTATTTTGAATTAATTGTAGTTATTAGTTCCAGATGGGTTGGTCTAAATACTCAGATGTTGCTGATCTACACAAAACCATCTCTGAGATTTAAAGAGTTTTTGAGTTACTTATTATGATTTTATATTTACTTTTTTTCTGCTCTCTGAGGAGTAAGATGCTTTTTCATTCTCTCCTGCCCTTCCTGCTTTGCTGCTTGGAGTCTTCTCTACATTTTTCATCCGAAACTAGAAATTATGGATATTTTTATTTTATGGATTTGGTTAGCTGGTCTCTCAATAAAACCTTTGGAACAGAGAGTTTTCTTCTTCCATGAGGACACGTCAAAGGTGGGACCTCTGTTCTTCTCTGTTCTGGATATACAGTATATCTGGATTCCGATCACTGGATTCTACAGATTGGCTCGGTGGTCTCCTGGTGTTCTACTAAACAAAGTCTGTGGCTTTTCATCTCCTGGCTGACTGACCAATTTGATGGACGGCTGTATTCTGTCAGTACTCAGACATTTTGCCTTGAGCGAGCTGGACTCAGTCCGCAAAGCAGTTCTATTGAGGGTCGCGGGCCGGCTGTGGTTCCTGGACTTTGCTGGTCAGATGGAACTGATCTTGGAGAAGCTGATAGATTGGCTCAGTGGAATTTGTCCACATTATTTGCCTGATTGGATTCACCACCTTGAGATGTACCAGCAGACATTGAAGCAGATGGAAATTTGTTATCGTCTGCCTGAATCTTTCTGTTCCCAAAACAACTGATTACAGAATCTGGCTCTCCGCTACATGGCCTTGATCTGTTGACTAAATTCTTCCTGGCTGGATTACATTGAAAATGCTCCGCCCCACACCTTCCACCCCTCCTCTCTCACCCGTCTAATCTGGTTTCCTGAGCAGGCCGAAGGCTGTACAGAATGAACAGTTACCATCAATATTCTGAAATATGGCTGCGTTGGTTTTGGGGACTGGATTCTTCAGGCCCCTAATCTCACTTACTCCTCTGGCTAATAAACTTGCTCTATGCAGAGGTTTTTTCGTAAACACCATAGTGTGTCACAGTGTTGATATAATATGATGTTTTTGCTTTTTTCCTCATCTTCCATTGTGTGGTTTTTAGTTTTTCTGTTGTTTTTATTACGGTAGTGCAACTGTGTTTTGCTGCATGACCGGTCTTAACTGCCCCCTCCCCCTTCCCTGAATGTACTTATACTTGTCTGATCATCTAAGGTACCTAATAAAGTAGTTAGTGAGTGTATATTGTGTTTGCTGCATAAGTATAAAGAGATCTATGTTCACCAGCGTGACCTTGGAATTTATTTCCGTGAAAGGTGTTTTACTTACTTACTTACTTACTTACTTACTTACTTACTTACTTACTTACTTACTTACTTACTTACTTACTTACTTACTTACTTACTTACTTACTTAC